TTTAAGGGAACATCATAGTGTTATAATTATCTGGGTTTGCGCACGTGGTTATGCTTTTGCAGAAGAAGCTAGGAGTAAACAAATCCTACATAGGGAGGCCGGTGGCTTCCATGACTTGTCTCTATCTCTGTGCTCAGTGGCCCTCTCGGCAGGTGTCTTCCTCATTCAGGAAACTGATGCATCACAGAGCAAAGCAGTCTGCTTGAGGTCTCCAGGAGTAAGTGGTAGAGCCAGGATCCCACCTTTACTCTTCATCATTATGCTAGTGTTTGGTTATACAGTGAGGGATAGATTTAGAATATTAAAATAGTAATAAAGTAAATAAAATGTGGGATCCTTTAAAAAAATTTACTGAAGAGAATATATAGTTTGGAATGACTTTTCACTAGGTATAGGCCACCCTTGACTGGGAGTCCTGCTGATTATAGTTCAGGTAAGAGATTCGTTTCCTTTCTCTACTACAGACCAAAGATATATCAGCCGTATAATAATGAAAGCAATCTTGGGGCCAGGGAGAAAGGTCAGTGGGATAAGCGCTTGCCACGGCCTGAGTTCAGTCCCTGGTCCCGCAAATAATAATAATAATAATGATGATGATGATGAAGAAGAAAGCAATCTTTCTGAAGAGCCAGTGGGTGAAGTTTGTCAAAGCTTGTAAGCTAGTACAAAGCAGTACAGATCAGCACTAAGTAGCACTGGGCACAGTCACTTCCTGCTAGGCCCGAAGCTGGAAGGCAGCCCTGCTTAGGAGGAGGACAGTTCCAAGAAGGTGTGATGGAGATCCACTGGGAGAGGACAGAGTGAGGCATCCTGTGGCTTTCTCTTGAGAATATTTGGCAAAAGCCCTGCTGCCTCCCCAAGAGGAGTTAGACCTGCATCAGAATGGAACAGGGGCTGCCAAGGAGAGATGAGGCAGGCACATATCTACTGCTTGTTTTGAACCTAGGATCTCTGTGGATGTTCAGGGCTGACCAAAGGAGTCCAGATTCCAGGAGAGAGAGGCAGACAGACATTATTTGGTACAGGGTCTTGCTACATACCTCGAATTCATAGTGATCCTCCTGTCTCAGCCTCAGAGACAAAGTTGAGGATTCTCAGTGGAAGTTGTGACAGAGCACCTGTTGCTTTGATATCCAGTGCAGGGGTTGAGTTTCACTACTCTACAATGGCTGGCACCAAGCCCACTTAATCTGCTGCCTTCTCACCCCAACTGGGGTGTGTCTGTAGGTGGTGGTAAGTGAGCCTACAGACCAGAGCACCCAGGCACTGGGGAAGCTCCAGGCGGATACTGACAGAGACGGAAGTGGACTTTGAGCCTCTGAAAAGTCAGGAAAAATGCTGGTCTTAGTTTTGTAAAACAGGTAATACCTTTTGAATTAGTTAAAAGATTTACTCCTAATTTCACGCTGGTAGTATTACTTGAAAACTTGCTTTTTGGGGGAGGGGGGTTGTTTGTTGGTTTTGTCTTTTTGAGACAAGCTCTAGCTGTGCAGTTCAGGCTGGCCTTGAGCTCACTTTATAGCCCAGGCTGGTCTTGAGCTTGTAACTTGCAATAGCCCTCCTGTTTCAGCCTCCCAAGTGCTGGGATTATAGGCATACACCATCACGCCCAGAGAAAACTTGGCTCTGGGGAAGATTTGTCTAACTAGAAATGACAGTGCATCAAAAGATGACTTTTTAATATTTTTATCAGTAGACAAACTTCCTAAAAATGTAAATACTCATATCTATATATAAACCCACATCACAAAAGGACTAATAAGGTTAGTCCTTGTTAGCTCTGAGTCATATGCAAAGGAGGCTCAAAATGTCTAAATATAATTTTATTTTTATTTATTTATTTTTTTTGCAGAACTGGGGATTGAACTCAGACCCCTGCGCTTGCTAGGGAACTGCTTATTCCACTGAGCCATCTCCCCAACCCTATAATTGTTTCTCCTAATTTGAAAATTAGCCTCCAGCCTTGGGGAGCATATATGTGAGAATGTCACTTACTTTTCTGTCTAAGCAACTGGTTGTACTTTCCCTTTGTGCTTCTAGTGGCATGATCTATTTTCATGTCATTTTGCAGACTATTATCCAAAGTGAACGTCTTACACATAGCTTCTTCCTCTGTTTGCTTTTCCCTCATACAGTAGTGGGAGGTGCTTCTGTTCATGTGAGTCTTCTCTCGTGGCTCTCTCATGGGACGAGTTTTCAGAGTAGGGGGGAGTCTCATAGAGCAGTGACACATTTGTGCCTGTATGTCTTTCCAGCTCAGGAATGAGTGCTGTACTCCTCAAAGTTGTCAAAGCTCGAAGGCCCTTGGAGGGTCTTTAGAGGACAATTTTCTCTTGAGCCAGGCTAGGCAGGTGCCTTGGAAGGATGAGCAGCCAGTACTTACTAGCTCTAACCTGAGGGCACATCCCAAGCCTTGGTGGACAGTGCTGACTTCTGAGGCTGGCCTCATACCTGCCCACCTGTCCTAGTTTTCTGATGAGATTTTCTTCTTTTGATCCATGTTGCTAACTTTTGCTCACATATTAAAACTCTTAAGAGGAAGAAGAGGGTGTTACAAACCAGTAGGCCTTGCTCTCTTTTCCAGTCGGTGGGAGGAGAGCCTCTGAGGAAGCTCTGCCTGGGGAGCTGTGCATGGAAATGGACATTTATCTACAGCCTAAGGCTGAGCAGGGCTCTGCTCCGAGATGTAGTAGAGACAGACGCTGTGCTCTGGGAGCTTCAGGTCTGGTCCAGCTGCTGCCACTGGCCTTCAGGAAGCATACGCAGCACGTGTGAGCTGGGGACTCTGTGGCTGCCCAGCCGTGAGTTCGCTGCTGCCCCAGCACTGAAAGGAGTTTGAGCTGAATGTAACAGTAACAGATAGCAAACAGGACAGGGAGCATGGTGAGCTTCCCTGGGAACAGCAGAAGTGGAGCAGTGGAGAGTGGAGACGTCTCTGTGCTCTGAAACAGCTTGCGAAGGCTAATATTATAGGGCTGATGGGCTTAAGCAAAAACTGAGTATGTGATGTTTCTCACATTCATGGAAACTGCTAGGTCCTAGAATAAAGCCCAAACCAAGGTTTCGATGAAGTATAAACTCCACAACTGCGGGGACTCTTTGTGTTTCCGGTCACCTTGTGAGGAAAGATTCTTTCTTGAGAAAGTGGCTGTGGTTTCCTCCTCATCCAATGAGGTATGCTTATTTAGAAAAATTCAATTTTTGAATAGCAGGAGGTTTACACAGTTGAAAAACCAAAAGTTCTTCCTTTTTTCATCATTTTCTGCCTCTTTCCTCCCAACCATTGTGATTAGGTTCTTATGAACCAATCTGATTTATTTGTGTACATACAAGTAAACATATATAGAAGCTCTCATTTTACTTCCATTTTTGGGCCCTGGTCCTGAGTTCAATCCCTGGTACTACAAAAAAAAAAAAAAAAGTAACTTCCATTTTTACTCAAAGGTAGCACATTGTAATCATGGTTTGATACCTTGCTCTTCTTTATTTAACTTTTTTTTTTTTTTAAACTTTCTAGGCTGGGGAGATGGCTCAGTAGAATAAGCGCTTGCCTGGCAAGCGCGAAGGTCTGAGTTCAAATCCCTAGTTCCGCAAAAAAACAAAACAAAACAAAAAAAAAAACCTTCACTGTAAACTTTCTAAAAGCTTTATTCCAGAGGAGCTCAGTCCTTCTTGGCAGCTGCCTTCCTTGTGGCGGCCAGCACATTGCTCAGCTCCTCACACTTCCTTTTGGCATGGATTTCTTGATGAACTTGAGGGCGCGCTTGTCCTTGGAGACCTTGAGCAGCTCCATGGCACACTGCTTGTAGGGGGTGAAGCCGTGCACCTCCTGGATCATGTCCCGCACGAACTTGATGTGTTTGGTGAGGCGTCCACGATGGCAGCTGTGCCTGGGTTTGCTCACATTCTTAGCCACCTTCTGGCCCTTGTTGAGGCCCGCAGCCATGGGATAGCAGAGGGCCACGACTACTGTTCTTCAGTGGTTGTTTCAGCAGAAGCCATTTAACAATATGCTCAGAAACCTTTCCCAAGAGTACATAGAGTATGTTCTCATTTATTTTTTCACAGCCATGTAACAGCCTACTATTTGGAGGTAACATAATGTATTTAGCCAGTTGGGTTTTTTTGTTTTGTCTTTTTGAAACAGAGTATCACTATGCAGCTCAGGCTGGCCAAAAGCTCACTTTGTAGCCCAAGTTGGTCTCAAACTTGCAGTGTTTCTCTTGTCTCAGCCACCTGAGTACTGGGATCACAGACATGCACAACTACACCTTACTCTTTTTGCTTTTTTTTTTTTTTTGGTGGAATGGGGGATTGAACTCACACCCTTGCACTTGCCAGGGAAGCACTTATTCCGTTGAACCATCTCCCCAGCCCTCTTTTTGCTATTATAAAGCTTCATTGGCTAACTGTACACAGTGTCATTCTCATCTCAAAATACTGTGTACAGCAGTGATGTAGTGATACAGTGGTTTTAGATAGGATCTCTTGCAAAGAAAAGTATTAGTTAAAAGATATCTCCCCTTGAATGTCATTATTTTCTGATTTGGATGTTCTATGGTTTACTGTAAAACTCAGAAATAGAGAAAAAACTTGATAAGTGTCCTAATACAAAGCTCAGATATTATTTCCTTAGCTCAACCCTTGTGTTTACAAATAGACCTAACTTCAAAACTCTGGATTTTACTTTGCAGTAGTTTTCACCAGATCCATCTGGCTTCCAACTATGTTTATGTGGCAGAAGTTCATTGGCAGCATCTGCAATTGCTGGGGCTGGGCAACTTTATACACTTTTAGGGCTCCTCTTCCTTTGCAATTCAGGCTGGCCTTGAACTCACTTTGTAGCCCAGGCTGGCCTCCAACTCACAGTTATCCTCCTGCCTCAGCCTTCTGGGTGCTGGGATTACAGGTGTGCACCACCATGTTCAGCAAGTCCTCTTTCCTGAGGTGATTCTAGCCCTCTGAAATTCTCACAAGCTGCCATGATCTTGTTTTGGTAGACGGGCTCATCTTCGCTTGTGCCTGGAGAAGTTGAAGGGGTTGGTGCCACTTGGGCCTGAATCCAGTCGACACACTACACTGAGTTTATTAACAAAAGCCAAATTGCACATAAAGGTAAGTGTACCCAGGACACCTCTTCATCTTCCCTGCCTAGCAGGAGCTTGTGTGCCAGAGGCACAAGCAGAGGTGTAGCTCCAGGCCAGTTCTGTCCTTGCACTCTGAGCCGGTTGTGTGAATGCCAGGTACCGCAGATGCAGTGTGTCCCACACTCCACTGCATGTTTCTCAGCCCTGGACTCCTGCCGGTAGATGGTCCATCTACCTCTCCATGCAGTTACACAAGCCAGAAGCTCAGACATGAGGCATCTCTGGTTTCTTAGCTATATAGAGCTAAGTCATCCCCGAGACCTAAATATTTTGCAACCTGTTCTACTTCTGTCTTCACCACACCACTGTCAACTGTAACAAACCCCTCAGAGGCCTCCTCCACCTCCCTTCCTCCCTCCATCCCTCTGGCAGCTCAGAGAGCTTCTCTCCCTGGTTCCTAAGAGCAATCCCTCCAAAGCTCAAACCAGCGCAGTAGTCCACTAAAGGTTCCTTTATGGCTTGTGATACAGTGTTGCCAGGCCCGTCGTGGCTTCAGGCCTGACCCTCCCGCCTCCTGAGGCAGCCTCTGTGCCACACATCCCGCCTCCCCCAGCCTCCTTCAGCCCTTGTTCTTTTCCCTCACAGACACTGTGCTGGCTCACTCTGTGGGCTGCTTCCCCCCTCTTCTCTGCCTGGTTAGGTGCTGCTCGTCCTTCAGCTCTCAGCTGGCTCAGGGAAGCCTTCATTGATCCTCCTGACTCAGTCTCCTTCTTGTAACACAGCCCCCGCACCCCAACCCCCGGGGCACAGTACACATTTAACGGTGGTTCCTGTGGCTTTAGGGCACATCCATCATCCAGCTCCCCAAAGGAGACAGGTGTTCATGCTTGCCTTGTATTCCCCGAACCTCACAGTGTCAGCCCAGAGTCACCCCTCAGTCCTCACTGAATACCAGAGCGTAGTAAGGTGTTATCCCAACTCCGAGAGCCACATCCCAAAGCTCTAGTTAGCATGTTTTTATAGCCGTATCTTGGTTGGATAAATACCACTGTAATTATGGCTAGTATCCTGCCATACATGACAATTCTAGAAGGAAAAAAAAACCCTCTATTTAAAGCAAAACAGCTACAATTAAACACTTTTCTTAATTATCTGAAGAATTTGAGAAGCTAGGGGGCAGATTTGTAAAAATAAATTTTCTTTGGAAATGTGTTTTATAAGCTCTTCTGTTGGACAATTTGGAATCAAGACTTCAAAAGGGACTGCTATTTCCTGCTAACAAACAGAAGTTAATTGAGAATTGGCGTGACACAAAAAGTACTCATGTAATTGGGGCATGCACTTGAATAAACATAATTTTAAATAGAAGTACATTTTTGAAGCTTCCATCTCTTGAGTTCTGAGAGATGAGATGTTGAGGGGCTCAGTGAGACAAGGGAACCTGATGGAGGGGGTCCCTGCCTGCAGTCTTCTGTTCCAAAATTAAAGGGTATGGAAGCCTGGTGTGATGACACACGCTAATAATCCTAGCACTCTGGAGGCTGAGTCAGGAGAATCGTTGCAACTTCGAGGCCAGCCTAGGCTACAAAGTGAGCTCAAGGCCAGCTTGAGCTACATAGCGAGATCTTGTCTCAAGAAGAAAAAAAAAAAGAAAGAATATAGAATGCCAGAGTGGCAGAGCTCACCCCAGTGACAAACCATTGTCCACAGCTTGTCAACACTGAGGACACAGAAGGAAGCCCACAGTCTCTGGCCCCCTGACTTCCTGTCTCTAGCAACACACACCAGCTGGCTCTGGGACAGTTAGCACATTTCACTGCTGGAAGGGAAGACACAAAGTCATGGCCACGTAAGGATCTGCCTGTAGGCCCCAACAGCTGCCCCTTTGACTTGCAGAAACTTGAAGATTGTGACAGGAAAGCCATTCACCAAATAGACCAGCTTCAGCGTGAGCAGCGACACCTGAAGAGGCAGCTGGAGAAGCTGGGCATTGAGAGGATACGGATGGACAGCATCGGCTCCACAGTCTCCTCCGAGCGCTCGGACTCGGACAGGGGTGAGCGCCCTCCCTCCTCCCTCGTCCTCCCTGCTCTCATCCCCCTCCTCCCTCTCCACCTGCCAGGCCCTCAGAACAGAGCTGCTCGCAGGAGGGCAAGCGGGCATAAAGGGCAGTAAGATTGACCTAGGGAAGCACCACGGTGTGGCTGCCAATCCTGAGTCCTGTCTTCCTGTTAGCTAAGGACCGCTGGGGGCTGGGCGGGGGTGCTGCCTGCCTTCCTGCGGGGTGCCTTTACCTATGCCTCTCTCTTGCCTGCTCCCACAGAAGAAATCGACGTGGATGTGGAAAGCACAGACTATCTCACGGTGGATCTGGACTGGAGCAGCAGCAGCGTGAGTGATTCTGACGAGCGGGGCAGCATGCAGAGCCTGGGCAGCGACGAGGGCTACGCCAGCTCCGGCATCAAGAGAAGAAAGCTGCAGGACAGCCGCAAGACGAGTCTTGGGCTATAAGCGCGCCCGCCCGCCCACCTGCCCGCCCACCTGCCCGCCCGCCCACCGGCTGCCTCCAGGATGGCCGTCCTGTCCGTGTGGATCTGATTAGGTAGTGTATGGGACCTGCCCACAACGCCCTTGCACGTCAACTTCAGTGTACCACCTTTACCAAATCAGCTTTGTAAACGTTTTCAAGGAAGTACGTAAGATTGTGGGTTTCTGATTGCATCCACTAGCTTCTCTCTCTCCATAAAAATTCTACTGAGAGACCGTACATTCCAATCAATTCAAAGCACCCAAGAGTTCTTAGAACCAAGTAAGCAATTGTCACATCTCAGCCACTTCCCCCTCTCCTTTACTGTCCTCATATAGTTCAAGTTTTCTGGCTTACTGTGTTACTTGCCTAGGAGAAGTGTCCAAGTGTGTCTCGTGCTTAGGAAACTGAAGGAAACAAACTTTTCAAAATTGAGACCCCGGTCTCAGACTCCAAAGTAAGCTTTGAAAGCAGAATTTAAGAGCACTTAACCACGGACCTCACCAGTGAGGAAGTCAGGAATACCTCCAGCCAACACCCTCCACGCCCCCAGCATCCCACCCAGCCGCCGCGCGTGGAGGGGAGCAATGTTCTCACTTAAACCGGACACCTTGGCAGCGTGGCCCCGGGGCCGCACAGCTTAGAAAGTTCCAGCACTGTGTGTTCTCGCAGACGACACGGTACAATCTCTGTGTGCTGTCCCTGGGACCTCGCTGTGTGCTGCAATCTCAAGGCACATCCCCCCTCGGGTTTGTTAATGCTACTTGTCTCTGGAACTTTTTTTTTTTTCCTACCTCAGAGATAAACAAGATCTCCATTTCCCACTTAGCAAAAGTGATTATGCCTCTTTTTCCCCCCAAATAAGTGATATTTGGTCGAATTCCAATCTCTTTTCCTATGTAACCTTCAGCAATAACTCAGTTTAGGCACTAGCTGAGCTAGTGGCCATTGCCAGTGAAAGGAAAGTCCACGTTGCCACTCCGCGTTGTAGGGGACAGGAGGGGTTGCACAGTGTCACTAGAGTCTCTCTATTGATGGCTTCTTTTTGGATACACCTGGAAACTTCTTTAGGGAGGCTTTTGGGTTGACAGTTTAAAAGCCTGATTTTTTTTTTTTCTTTTGGGTTATGGTTATGATTTCTCCCTAAAGTGGTCCCCCACTTTGTAGCATTTTTATTTAAGCTAAAACAGAGCACATGTATATGTACATAAGACACATTAAATCTATAAATACTATTTATTCATTTTATATAAACTAATGTAATGGAAAATAAATTCTTATGACTTTGTGCTTTTATAGATGTTCTAGAAACTTTGTATGCAGGTATCTACAAAATTGGTTCATCCCCCTTAATATTTTTGCATTCATATTTTTGAGGTCTTGATGTTTTCAGCCTCTTGTGACTCTTTTTCATCAAGTTTGAACCATTTATAAAAAATCTGTGACGCTGAAGCAGAGTGTGTGTCACACAGCGATGGAACATTCCTAAAATCCACAGATGCACTGCGACCTAAGGGCTCAATGGCTGACTCAGCAGCGGGTGGCCGCCCTGCGCTGCCCTCCCGCCTGCGGTCACTCGGTCACTCGCACACCACAGCCTCGCAACTTACGCAGGCTCTACTCTTCACAAGTCAAGTTCAGACGCGCTCACCGGAGCTCGTTCTCTACATGAAGATCAATCTAAACAAAGCAAGATCACTTTTGTGGGTTGGTATTTTTTTTAATGATTCTTTTATGTCTGAAAAAATTTATTTTTTTAATTGGAAGTTGTGGACTCCTAAAAAAAATTTCCAAAGTCATCTATAATTCTGTTTTGGTTTTGTTCTATTTTTTTTTTTCCCCTTCATTTTGGCTTGGGGGGGGGGGTTGACACAAAGGATTTTTTTTTTAATTGTTGGAATCTTTTCCAATTACCAGCTGAAGATTTGCACTGAAATACAACTTGTATGCCTTTTGCATTTTTAAAGCCTGCTTCCTGAATTTAAGCAGAATGATAGTGTTCAAAGAGCCAGCTCAGCTTGTAACATGTTTGAAGAAGGTATATCCGCACTTTGAGGTCCCTTACGAATGCCATTTGCTAGACCTCACAAGCATTTTGTTTAATTGCTATATCCAAGCGCCTCACAAGTCCACGATGCTGGATGCCTTACGGCACTGGAAACTCAAAACTTTGGGAAAAGCTTGTGGGCTTGCATTGGGGGAGGGAAGGGAACACAACTGTACTTGTTTGTTTAGTTTAGAAACAAGGCATCTGAGAGATGCCATTATTTTCTGTGTTTCAATTGTTGTGCCTTTGAGTTAAACTGCATTTTTGTCTTTTGGTTGAAATATAAAATGTACTGTCCCAATATAAAACCGTAATTATTTGACCTCTGCACTGTTTGTCTGGTCCTTTTTAATTTGGTTGCATATAATTGTGGTACTTGATAGATCACTATATTTTGAATGCATTTGTGATAAAATGACACCAGGGTTAGACACTATTTTCAAAGCTCAAGGTAGACAAAGTCAGCATGCTAGATAGGCTTCTCTTTGACCAAAACTGTAACTTTCAGGACCAGCAAACCCAGCCCAAGGCAGCTAATCCCCTCCCCCACGTGGCTGAACCACAGCCTGGATTTGCCAAACTGTCCTCTCGTTTCACTGAAACACCAGCGTGACTGCTAGAGCTATAGAGTCTTTTTGGTTGTTTTGGTTTTTTAAGCAAAAGAAAAAGAAAAAACCTTTCTACTAGGGTTGTTGGGGGGAGGGGACGGGCAAAGATATAAACCCCAGCCTTTAAGACTTTGACAATTGTACGTGAATATAGATGTGTATAAATATAGGCACATGCATATTTTTTTGCAAAAGTTCTTTTTAAAAAACTAAAATCAAAACTGCACTCTGATACCATCATAATGCAAATGGAAAAAGAAGAGTCCGTTGTCCATTTTAGTTTCTTGCCATGAGAAAAGATCCATGAGTGCTTTTGTTAACGTCCCTGAAAATGCAGCTTTCCGGCATCCCTTAGTGGCTTTGAATGGCAGGCTGAGCACCCAGGGTATTTTGATTTTGGTTTTCTTTTGCTAAGCAAAGATCTGGAATTCTTCAAGGTGCTGATAGCGACTGCTGGTTCCTCTCTCTACTCGTAGACCGAATGCTAGTTTAGTAACTCAGAGAGCATCACACTTTTGAGCAGACCCTAGATTTTTCCACAGCAGCAACCCAAGATTAAAATAATTCCATTGTCAATTCAGGGGTGGTTGGCCCCACCCCTACAACGGGCAGCGTTAGTGTTTGTTATTTTGATTTTAAAGTGGGCATTTTCCTTTAACCTCAACTTTCTTAGAAAGGGACAAAGGTCTTCTCCTGGGTTTCCTGTGGCCCTCTTTCTACTGTCTTTGAAGTGGCCAAGAGAAAATCCTGGGGTCTGAAAAAAGGGTAAACTAGGTAGATAGGATGCTCGAAGTAACCTTTAGCAATATCTTAGGGCTTGATCATGGATTTTGTGGACTTTTTCCTCTTGCCTTCTTCCCCGTCATGTAAAGAGAGAACTTATTTTTGCAAAAGCACGGATATATGCACATTACTATTTAGGTTTTTATACCATACTGTATTGGCAAGTAATACCACTTTCTTTGTGCTTTGTAAACTATTCATTTCCCCAAATCTCGGTCTTTTCTGTTTCTTTGCTGGTGTCCCCCAAGTTTCTCTGTCTTCCCTCTTTACCTGCCCTGTGTGTTGAACACCAGGTAGTGAAAGGCCAAAGGGCAATTTCCTGCGTATCAGTCTGTTAGTTTTCTGTCTCTTTGATGAAGCACGTTGTGGTAGCTGGCTACTCCTCGCTCCAAAATCCTTCCTGGGAGAAGACGACCCAAAGACATTAGATGAGGTGGTTTTTCTCATTCTGCGTGATCGGATCTCTGTAGACCGTAGGAAGTTTTGTTTTCAAAGATCCTGAGTTGAGGGTGGGTGCAATATGTGACTATATCATGATTTTGTCATCAATATTTAATACATGGATGATTTACTTATATTCTTCAGAAAGAAGAAATAATTGATGGGCACTGCTAGATTCAGCTATTGGATGGCTGAAAATTTTGAGTCGGTCTTCTCTCAGAATCATAAAATGAGAATTAGTAGGCACCCAATTCTAAAATTGATCCAGATTTTTCAATTTTCTTTATCTGTGGGGATGGCAGATTAAAGGGAACATTCTTCATTTTAGCTTTTAAGAACCAAACTTGCCTTTCCCCTCATCCCTAGAATTGGTGCTTTTGGAATATTGGTGTTAACATCAATGGGGGGAGGGAAGGGGTCGTCCTAAAGGTAAACACAGCCTCAACAGGGGAGCAGCAGATGAAAGAATGGGAAATTGTTTCCAGATGTTTATTTCTTTATGTAAATATGACGCCAATGTAAATCCTGTGTCAAGACCATAGAGAATGGTGCTTTTTACTACAATTAGCACATGCATTTTTAGAAACTATTACATGTTTTAGAGACTCTTTGCTGTGTATATGTAAACTTATGTATTGTTCAACTGTTAACAAATAATAAATTATTTCATTATTAAAGAAATGTTGGTCTTTTCACTATTTTGTTAGGTCTGGGGGTGAAGATGGACGCATGATTTCATGCACTGCAGTTAGATCTGGAATGCAGTGGTACAAGAAAGCGCCCTGAGTAATCTGGGAATGGGGGGTGGCATTGGAGCTGGGCCAAGGGGGTTGGCTGGGGAGAAGCATGTACCTTTGGGAGAGGCCAGCCCAGGGGTTAGGGTGGCTGGCTGCGGCCTGGAGGCTCAACCTTGGGGGGTGGCAGCACCACAGGCCTCAGGAGAGCAGAGAGGCCCCCAGCCAGGACGTTAGTTCTTTTACCTGCTGACACCTCTGGCTAACTCACATCATTCACTCATTTAATGAACAGTCTCGGCTTTGGGTCAGGCTCTGTCACAGAGCCGAGGACACATCAAGGAGCAGAACACACCAAACCCCTGTTCTTCTTGTGAGTTTCCTCTCCCCTGAGCCTGACTTTGGTGCTCAGGTCCCTGTTGTGGCATGTTTGGGGGCTGCACTGCCATCGCCCATCTGTGCTCCTGGTCCCCTGGCACATGTCCAGGGTCTGAGGGAAGGGAATAGTGTCTTTCTGCTGTTATTTCTGGTGATACTGGGGATTGAACTCAGTCAGGGCCTTTGCACTGAGCTACACTCCAGCCTTTTTTTTTTTTTCTTTTAAATTTTGGGGTAGGGTCTAAAATATTATATTTCTCAGGTGGGCTCAAACTTGCCACCTTCTGCCTCAGCCTCCCAGACTGCTGGGATTATAGCCATGTGCCACCATGGCTGGCTTGTCTCTCTCTTAACCAGAGACTTTTTACACTAAAACCACCGACAATTGTTTAAAGGTTTTATGGTGCCCTCAAGTTAACTATAACATTACACCGCCAGCAGAGTCTAAGAAAAAGGAATGTTCTGGTATTTCTACTTTGGAAAACGAGTCCAAATCATCTGCTTCCTCTTAAAAGTATGGGCCACAGTGAATGGAATACGTGCTGCTAGGAGCCTTCTCTGTAGACAGCTCCAAGGTGGAACAGCAAAAGCTATGTTCCAGCAAAGCAGTAGGATCAGTGGCCTCCCTGTTTACTGAGGGCAATGAGAGGAAGCTTTGAACTGTAGATAATTATAAAGGCAGCTTTCGCATAAAGATAGACTCCACCACAAGATGACAAATCTTATTTCCAAAGTTTCCTGAACTTGTTTGTTCACAGTAGCCTGATGAAAAATTATCTTTGTTATACTGTGTGGGTCCCTGTCGAGGCCATAGTCAGCTTGCATTCACCCCATGACTAGCAAGGGCTGGGTGTGCCCCGCCAGAGCCCCAGTGAGTGTTCACACTCAGCCCCACAAGCTAGTGCTAGCAGGCACCCCCTTTTCAGACAAACTGAGGGCAGGTGAGCCGCTTTGCCTCCAGTCCACGTGGAGTGAGGAGTGGGTCTGCCGACCTGGTCCCCGCTCCCCTGCTGCCATTTTTATAAGAGCTGTGTCCAGTTGTCATCACTTTCCCACACATAGCCTCCTTTCCTTTTCAAACCTTTGAAAAAGGCTTCCTGCTTCCCACGTGGGGGCTTAGGTTCCAGTTAGTGAAGCAGAAAAACTGAGACCTCACCAGACAATTTGAGCCTCATTGCTAACTCACTGACCTCTCCTCAGCCTCCACTTCCCTCGGATTCGTGGTGATCCTCCTGCTTTCAGCCTCCCCAGTGCTGGGATTACAGGCCTGCGCCAGCTGGGGCTCTGGTGGCTCAGCCCAGCGTGTGGTGCCGGGGATCGAACTATGATCCCTGTGCTCACCAAAACTTGTCTAAGCAGGCACGTTAGTCCACCAAGCTATCTCGCTGGCCCTCCTGTCTTTTTAGCTATCTTTTCCTTTCTGCTGCCATTTCCCCCTGGGGTGCCTGAGACACCGAGTCCCCACATTTGGCACCTGAACAAAATACTTGGAAAGAGATAAGTGGGCAGCAGGAGCACTTTCAAAGAACATGGGACAGTGGAGGGAAGTGAATTGGTCAGAGTACTGAGTACAGGTGTGCGTGGGTACTGGCATAGCAGGTGTAAAACTTGAAGATGGAGGCTCATTAGGGCCAGAGAGTAAATGTGCTTGAAGAGAAGCCAAAAGAAGAAGTTAAACAGAATTATTGATAGTTAAAAATGAGACAAATAAGAGTCTCAAGAATCATAGAGGTGGGCTGAGGAGATGGCTCAGCAGTTCAAGTGAGCACAATGTCCTGAGT